TGCCATTGGCATTGTCGGAACTGTGTATTGGGGCTTGGGAAATAGTGCAGCAGAGCGGAGTCTGGTAGTACACTTCACTTTCAGAAGTTTGTTCTGACTTTCTCAGGCACATTTCAATATATGTGCCAAACAGTCATCACATCAGCTGTCATTTATTGGTATTTTCCTTCTTATGAGATATATGGTGGGATCGGCATATTTTTTGAAGACCTTTACATAAGGTCCTATACATAAGGAAACTGTGCTGAATGCTTTTCATGATCAAAGAAGAAATTCAAGTGAACATTTGGACAAGTCATTTTTCATTTCCCAGATTTTTCACTTATAAAAAAACTAGTGATTTTGACTAAAGACTGTTCTATATCTAAAGTACTTTCTGCTCAAGCATTTTATAAATCTCCATCCAGTTCTTGCCAAACTTGACTTTATAAGACGTCTAGGTTATACATTAAAGAGCAAAGATATCAAACTCAGTTTGAGGTACTCAGTTTTGTCCCTAGCATTTGAGTGGTTTGTGTTAACTTGAATCATTGTTCAGCCTCTTTGTGTTTTCGATGACTTGTTTTTAACTCCCTCCAAAAGAATGTGTCTTTGTCCTTTTTGTTTCCTTTTTAATATATCCCCTTTACAGGTAGAGTTGTCCATGGAGGACATTGAAACCATCTTGAATACACTCATATATGATGGGAAAGTGGAGATGACTATCATCGCTGCAAAGGAAGGCACAGTTGGCAGTGTAGACGGACACATGAAACTGTACAGAGCAGTCAATCCAATCATCCCCCCTACAGGCTTGGTCCGGACCCCCTGTGGACTCTGCCCGGTGAGTTCAAGAGGCTTCACATTACACTTGACTACCTCCAAGTGCAAATGCCACATAACGTACCAGCAAGCACACCCCAGTTCTCTGACTCTCAGGGTTGACCAAGAATTACTCAAACCTCCATGTAATCTTGATATTTAATGAACAAATCATTGCCTTACATAAGTGATCTGTGTTTTCTGCTCTTAGCCCTAAAATAGACAATTTTTGACAACTATTAATCATTTAACCTAAGTAGTGTGAGAAATGAGATTTGAGAACGTACCATAGTCAGATTTATAGTCAAGATTTATGTGATTTCATTTAATCCTCCTTATGTCCCTTTGAGCTACTGGTGTTATTTTCCCTTAAGTAGGAGGGAACTTAGGCTAAGAAAGACTTAAGAGCATGTAGCTTAGAAGTAACAACCAGGATTCAAACTCAGAGGTAATGTTCTGTCCCCTGCAATATGCCCAAGGTACTATTCATTCATTCATTCCCATATAGTTTATGAGTGCCAATTGTGTGCTATAGGGACTGCCCCAGCCCTCATCACATTAATATTCATGGGCTGCTAGTCTGTGTTTTATTTCATTACTAGAGACCCGATGCACGAAATTCATGCAAGAGTAGGCCTTCCTTCCCCCGGCTGCTGGCATCGGCTTCCCTCTGGTACTCAGGCCAAGGCTTCCCTCCAGGCGCCGGCAGGCACCCGGGACCCAGGCTTCCCTTGCAGCTCCAGCTTCGTTTGGAAGGACATCCGGTCTAATTAGCATATTATGCTTTTATTATTATAGATACTGGCCCTTTTCTATATATCTAAGCATTCTATGCCATGGTTTCAATTACTAGAAAAAAGGCTAGCATATTGGAAATTCTATTTGGCACCCTTCACAAAAACGAAAGTAGCTAAACAGGAAACATTTGGTTAGTCAAAACTAAGTCATTCTTAAGTATAGATCTCCCTTATATTCCTGTGGTACCCGCTGATAGCCTCTTCCCCAGTGGGCAGGTGAACATGGTCATCTTAATGCTGTAGTAAAAGGTTTCCCATTAAGTAACTTTATGATCACAGAGCAGGCCTAATTACAGTGTGTCCTTAAATACAGACCTAATCTCCTTCAATTTGAAAGTTTTGTTTTTAATAGTGCTTTAAGTAAATGGTTAGGTCTTGGATAGTTCATTAATAGAAATGTGAGTTATGGTTGACACTTAATTTTACTTTATTAGTGTTTTTTTTTTAAAAAAAAAAAAAACTTCAGTTTGAATATAAACATTTTTCTGTTTTAAAGGTTTTTGACGACTGCCATGAAGGTGGTGAGATTTCACCATCTAACTGTATTTACATGACAGAATGGCTTGAATTTTAATAGAGAGCTCGGAACTTTATGACATCTTTCAAATGAAGTTCCTTTGGGAGCAAGTAATTTAACTCATGATGGAACATCAAATTCCCTTGAAAGCAAACTTCACAATAATGGATACAGACTTACTGCTATGAAAATATATTTTTTAAATCTATGGAGACTAAATTTATATTGGTAGAGTAGCCACCAGAATATGAAGCAGGTAAGTGGAATCCATTCTTTAATAAAATACTTTGAAGTTCTGGAGGACAACATCTGAAGCTTTCAAGACTTGACTGTCCAAGAAAAAAGAAGCCAACAAATGCGTATTTACCAATGGATAATGGCTAGAGCCTAAAAATGCTTGTTTTGAAGCTATTTATTAAGGTCTTCATTGGAAATTGTTTATATCTGGTTCAGTATCACCATTTCTGTTTTCACAATGGTTCCACTGAGAAGAAATTAAAACGGGAAAGGCAGGAATAGCAGAGCAGTCTGTGCAAATTTGGGGCGTGAATGGAGAGGATAGTTGGAACATCCTTTTCCACATTCTGTTCCTTTTTATGTCAAATATCCTTGCCCTAGCTGGTTTGGCTCAGTGGATAGAGCACTGGCCTGCGGACTGATGGGTCCCAGGTTCGATTGTGGTCAAGGGCACATGCCTAGGTTGCAGGCTCAGACCCCAGTAGGGGGCGTGCAGGAGGCAGCTGATTAATTTTTCTCTCTCATCATTGATATTTCTATCTCTTCCTCCCCGAAATCAATAAAAATATTTTTTTTTTAAAAAGAAATATTCTTTTGGAGGATTGTGCCACTGCATTTACCTCAAACCTAAATGACTATTGTGAAGGATGTTTTCAGTCCATAAATATTAATTATTATCCTCATTCAAAAGGTTTTTTTTTCTCTAGACCTTCTTTGTTAAAGTCTTACAAGTTCACTCTGTGGCTAAGTTGTATTATTTAATAGAATTTTTCCTATATTATTATTATTTAAGTAACATTAAAACTAAAAATAATCCATTGCCCTCCACTCACACTTTATTTTGGGAAGGGGTACCATTCTTCTGTTCTTGTCCTGTTTTAGACTTGTTTCTTTTCCTTATTCTGTTCTAAAACTCATGTCTAAACTGAGCAGAAAGCCATTGTCATTGTCCTTAGTTCTAATACTACTTTCAGTTCCATTCTTTAGACATATAGAAAATACTAGCTTACTAGTATTCGATGTGTTGCACAGATGTTAGCTGGAGGGCTTTTTAGGTTCTCAGCTGTTGTATTTTCCCTTTTAACTCCATTTAAAAGTTTCTGTGTTGCCCTGGGCAGTGTAACTAAGTTGGTTGAACATCACCCTATACACAGAGAGGTCACCAGTTCAGTTTCCAGTAAGGGCACACGCCCAGGTTGCAGGCTTGATCTCCAGGGGGCAGGGGAATCTGATTGATGGCTCTCATCTATGTTTCTCCCTCTCCCTCTCTAAAAGCAATAAAAACATAAAATAAACGTGCCTGGCCTGTGTGTCTCAGTGTTTCAGTGTCAACCTAGAGGTCACGATTTGATTCCCGGTCAGGGCACATGCCCAGGTTGCAGGTTCAATCCCCAGGCAGGGGGCATGCTGGAGACAGCCAATCAATGATTCTCATCATTGATGTTTCCATCTCTCTCCCTTCCTTTCTGAAATCAATAAAAATATATTTTATAAAAAAGTTTCTGTGTCTAGGCCAAAAGTGTGATACCAAAGGAAAGGAATTCAAGCTCAGCTACTCCCGAGGCCTGAGTTCAAACACCAGTTTGGAGATATTCTTAAGTCAGGCGTGGGGAACATCCAGCAAGAGGGCTGTATAAGGTCCACAAAACCATTTGGTGTGGCCCTACCAAGGCAATTATGGGAGGGACTCGAAATTCAATAAATGTAGGAGTGTAAATTTATCAACATAAATGTATATTAAGTGAATGATGTTATAAATATCCATATGACCCTTAGCAAAAAAAAGGTTCCCCACTCCTGCTAAGTGGACAACCAGAGAGTTATTTTGAAATAAATGGGATTAGTAAAATCAGTTCAATAACCAATTTTTAAGAATCAAATTCTGTGGCCAGCTATACAGAATTGGCATTTGATGACACGAGCTTTTTAAAATAAGTATCACTTTAAGTATTGGATATATATAAGATAGAACCTGGGAACCTATAAACTACAGGTTTCTCTTCTATCCCCAGTGAGAGTTGGAATGGTAATATCTGTCCTTCCTGGGACCTGGCCTATGGGGAGCCGGCACAGCCATGGCATACTCAGCCCCAGGGTGCCTTATGTGCCATGCCAGCTCAGCCTGGTTCAGTGACCCTGAGGGGGGGGGGGGGTGAAAGGATTGAGAAAAGACAGACAAGAGAATGACAGTTGGGTCTCGGTGGGACGCTGCCTCCCTGATGAAGAGACAGCGCCAGCGCCCAAAAGCCGTGTCTTTATTTTATAGCAGATGCCACGAGGCAAAGTAGGGGCGTGATCAAGTTTTTACAGCATTCTCATGCGCTCCAACCCTAATCAACTACATGCACCTGAACTCCAGCACAAGGCACGTGGGGCCACATGTTTGGACCATATCAAGCTTACAACCACAGCGTTGGCTATGATTGTGCTGGGAGGACCCTGCCCTTCCAGCTGGGACTTGCACGTGGCAATGAGAGGACCCTGTCCTTTCATTAGTCCAAGGCTTGAACCTAGCCAAGACACTGTAGCTGCGCCCCATACTGGCCTATCACAGAGGCATAGTCTTATTTAATAAGCAAACGGAACTTGGAGGAGAATTAGCATTGGAGAGCAGGAACCAGTTTTAAATACAGACTTTGCATTATGTCTTGATTTTTTTTCCCAAAGATTTATTTTTAAAGCTTACAATCAATGGCTAAAACATAAAAGTATCCTTTGCCTCACTAGAATAAAGATTCTCTTTAAACATTTTTTTCATAGCATGTTTTAAATTCTGAAAATTAACTGAAGGAAAAAAGAGACAATTTAAAAATACAGCACCTTCGATGACAAATGTATATTTATATACAGGAGTAAACTTTGACCAAAACAAATAGTGAGGCTCTACACTCGTGACAACACCAAAACAAGTTGTGAGTGAAGTCCTAATCCTTACAGTTGATTTTCATTTAATATAAGGTCTTTTGCTCACCTGAGAATAGATATTCCCTGGAGTCTGGCAAGGCCTTGCTATGGTTAATAATGAGCTACTAGTATATATAGTCAAACATGAGAATCTGATTTGATGGCTTATTGATGGTTCTCATCGATGTTTCTCCCTCTCCCTCTCCAAAATCAATAAAAACATAAAATAAAATAAAGTTTCTGTCCAGCATGCCTGACTCAGCGTTTGAGTGTCGACCTGTGAACCAGGGGGTCACGGTTTGATTCCCAGTCAGGGCACATGCCCGGGCTGCGGACTTAACACAAATAGTTTATGTGGGATTCTTCCATGAAGCTTCTCTGATCTTAGTTTGGTGATGAGTAAGTTTTATGGACCCATGATTTTTACGTTAACCAACTAAGCAAACTAGTTAAGTAATTTCAAGTTGAGTCATATTAGATGGTGGGTCAGGGAAGAATATAAAATACAATGCCCTAGACTCCAGTGCTGTCCAGTTGAACTTCCTATAATAATGCGCTGATGGTTGTTTGAGGCAATATTTAGGATCGTAATAGGCAAAAATTGTTGAGAAATGAAAAGGTTTTTTTAAATATATATCATGATCAGAAGAAAAATGGGAAATGAAAGAAATCTAAAGAACCATGGGAGTTAAAAAGAACTCTACAGAATAAAAATTTGAGGAATGGAAGGATTATTTTAAAAAATAATTAAGACTGTAACAAAATCCAAATTGTTTCCATGATTTTATCTTTTGACATTATGTTCATTTCTCAGGCTTTATAGGGAATCTTTTAAGGCACCTGGCTAAGTTAATAGTTATGGCAGAGGCCACAAATGGATGGCTTGGACTTTGTGTGTTTGTAAATTTTTTATTTACACTGTACTTGCCAACTAATCCGTATGTACACGTAATTCATGTACATATGGAATATATATATATATATATATATATATATATATATATATTCCCTAAATATAAAAACCATTGTATAAAGTTTTTTCCTCAAAAAATCCAAAATTTGGCCACACCTTGCCACATTCCCACATGACATGAGTTCTCCACATAGTCCTTATCCTCCTAACTGTGGTCTTACACAAATAAAGTTGACTTCTCATACTCCCTGCCTAACCCTTGCAGATCCCTGCCTCTTAGCATCCTTATATTTCATTGTCTCTCAACCTGTTTGAAGGACCGGGGGTTGGGGGGCAAGGTGTCAAAGGTGAAGGCCCTAGTCTGGGTTTAATACAGCAGCTAGTGTTTTGAGCTCTAAGCCAGAACTCTAGACCTTTAGTCATGTTTTCTTTCTCCAACAAAACAAATTTTACTTTAAAGAGGAGGGGTACAACTCTTATACATCATACATCAAATTTATTTAGTTTTAATCTGGGCTGGAAATCAGGAAACCTGGGTTCCATTTGTGTCTTCCTCACTTTGGATGGTTAACATGTCCTTACGGTCCCTTGTCATAAGGAAAATACTGCTTTAATTCATAGCAATTTGGAAAGATATAGATTCTATGGAAAATGGAAATGCTACTTGTAACTTAGTTTGAACATTGAAACTTGTGTTTGTTTTTTAGGCATTTTTGATGATTTACCTATAATCTGATCATTGCTCTACTATATTGGTATGCAGAATAGTAGAAATCATTCTTTTTGTGCTGATACTTTCAGCATAGATTTTACCACATCAATCAGTTCGGGAAACTCCGTCATCTGAAAGTGGCCACGGTCAGTGAATTTGTAAAATTTGGCTTCCAAACTATCTGCCACTTCTTGTTGTTCCTTCCAGGGTAGGAAAGGATCATCAGTGGAGCCAAACTGCACAATGTGAGAGCAGTTGGCTTTGATCTTCTCCCACTGCCAGGGGCGGTTGAAGTAGCCTAAGGAGAAAAATATATATAACCTATTAGTGCCAATGGATAATTTCTATTCTAGCCATTCTGAAATATCTAGTGAAGACCGTAGTAGACACACAAAGAATCAGAACCTAAGTGGTTTTCAGATCTGTAGGGCTTGATATCATAGGTAAGTGTGAAAGGGAAGTATGGCTCATAGACAGTCAGCCTCAAGGGTTCAGTTCTAGACCATGGATTAGAAATGGTTACAACCTCTCAAAGTGCCAAAATTATAGCTAAAGATGGGTGGTAAATATTTTTCATGTGCCGTTAGATTTTTTTAAGCCTAACCAAAAGACAACACTGTTTTATAACCTGAACAAGCAGCCCTGTGACTAGAGGAAGGGCTCTTCTGGGGTTTCTGCCTTCAAACTTACCACTTGCACGCTCATTTTCATCCCCTAAGTCTGATGTGTATGCAGACACTAATACAATCGCATACACTCGATGTGTTTCTGCATACCTGAAGAGAGAGAAATGATGTCAGCTAATATTTAATGTTAAATCTGATCACCAAAAAGTCAGTTAACCACTTACCTCATTTGGTTTAGCTTACAAGAAGCATGTGCTATATGCTATTGGAGTTAATATGAGAAATAGTAAGGAAACTGCAGAACTACAAGCCCAATGGTTACTTGATGAGCTTCTACTCATTTTTCAAGGTAGTCCAAACCTCTTCTGCAATCCTTTCCCAATACACATAAAAGCGTAATCATTTTCTTCAGTGTGTGTAATCTACCATTAGTATGCATCAGCATTACTTGATTAACACATAGATTTCCAGGCTCAGTCCTAAAGTATGATTCAAAAGGTTGGGAAGCCCGGCAGGTGTGGCTCAGTGGTTGAGGGTCGGCCTAAGAACCAGGAGGTCACAGTTCGAATCACAGGGCACATGCCCAGATTGCAGGCTTGATCCCCAGTGGGGGATGTGCAAGAGGTAGCCAATCAATGATTCTCTTTCATCATTGATGTTTCTCTCCCTTTCTCTCTGAAATCAATAAAAATACATTTAAAAAATTTTTTAAAGGTTGGGAACAGGGCCCAGGAATCTGCATTTTAAGGCATGCCACCTCTCCTAACCCTATTTTAAGAAATATTGTAAATAGCAGAAATGTATCTCTTTTACCACACACTCCACATTGCATTGTATTACTAGTATTCAGTGTTATAGCTATCTCCCCAATGTAAACCATCAGCTCCTCAAGGGCACATCTGAACCTTGATCTTTGTGACCCTGCTGCCTAGTATAGTGCCTGGGAAACAGTTAACTATTTGCAGACATTTTCCTCAAAAACTAGGCTAAGGTAAGACAGAGAATAATAACAGTTTCAAAGAGCCATAGTGCCAGGAAAGATTTATGGTTGGTATTTTGTGCGTGAACCTAAACTTCTTTCCTCAACCTTTTGTTCTGAAAAATGTTCAAACCTACAGAAAAGTTAGAATTACAAGCACCTAGATTCATTAATTTTGCTACATTTCACCCTAAATCTTCAGCATGTATCCCTAAGACTAAGGCTATCCTCTTATACAACCACAGTACCACTATTACACTGAATAATTTAACATTGAAACATATTAACTCTATTTTCCCCCCAATTGTACCAAAATGATCTTTAAAACTGCTTTTTCAATTCTAGATCCAGTCAAAGATCATACAGTGCATTTGGTTTTCATGACAGTCACTTTAAAAATTTTTAAATATATTTTTATTGATTTCAGAGAGGGAGGGAGAGCGAGAAACATCAATGATGAGAGAGAATCATTGATTGGCTGCATCCTGCAAGCCCCACATGGGATCGAGCCCGCAACTGTGGGCATGTGCCATTGACCAGAATCGAACCTGGGACCCTTCAGTCTGCAGGCCAATGCTCTAGCCACTGAGCCAAACCAGCTAACGCTAAATGTTGTTTTCAATAACATCAACAGTTTTTAAAAATTTAGGGCAGTTGTCTTATACATTATCCCCTAACCTGAATTTACCTGTTTCCTCCCTGAGGTTAGACATTTTTGGCAAGAATACTACACAGGTGATGTTGTGAATCTCCCAGTTCATCCATCAGAGGCACCTGAAGCCTATTGGTGCCATTATTGCTGAGATTAACTTTTATTACTTGCTCTGAAGGCAGCAATTTTCAACCTTTTTTATCTCATGGCACACATAAACTAATTACTAAGATACTGTTGCACACAAAAAATACATACTTTTTGCCAATCTGACCCAAAAAAAGCATGATTTTGATTCATTATCACCTGATGGCTATTATGTTGGCTGTTTTGTGTCTTGTTTTTATCTGACAATCTCAGGAAAAAGAGATCAGTGCTCTTAACTAGTCAGGTATTGCATGTTTCAAAAATTCTTGTGGCACACCCGTGTGCCTGCTGTGGCACGCAAGTTGGTAATTGCTTAAGGGTGATATCCATCAAATCCTTCCATTGTAAAGACATTATTTCCCCTTTGTGATTAACAAGTAATGTGTGGGGTGGTCCTCTGTGTCACTGTCCATCCTCTACAATCCCCCATGGTTTTGTATCTATTTTTCTCTGCCTACTTTAACTTTAGAAGTTAGTTCTTGGAAGGTTGCTCACAATCCTGCAATAGGTTGCAGGGATCTTTAAAAGAAGGCACACCTTTATTAGCCAATAGCCTGAGAAAAATTCAGTTGGCCTTGAGTTGGTACAGATTTCGGCATAAAGGGATTTCTTCATTTTCCAGACAAGCCCTGGCAGCTTATAAACACTGACTATACCATAATTCTGTAGCTCCATATTGCAAAACATTATTATTCTTGTAGCTTTGATTAGTGTGGCTGAAAGGTTATGGAATTGGCAAAATTCTTTGACATGCAATTCATGTGACATCCCGAAGGACTGCTTGGGATGACACTAGATGAATAAAAACCACAATCCTTTGTCATTCAGCCTGGCAAATATGGAAGAAACCCAACCCGAACAGGCTTATTCTGCCAGCTAAGTCCCTAACCCCTAGGCCAGCGGTTCTCAACCTGTGGGTCGCAACCCCTTTGGGGGTCGAACGACCCTTTCACAGGGGTCACCTAAGACCATTGGAAAACACGTATATAATTACATATTGTTTTTGTGATTAATCACTATGCTTTAATTATGTTCAATTTGTAACAATGAAATTGGGGGTCACCACAACATGAGGAACTGTATTAAAGGGTCGCGGCATTAGGAAGGTTGAGAACCACTGCCCTAGGCATTACAACCCTAAAGGGAGAGATGTAATGTTCTTTGGTGATCATCAGGAACATGCCCATGAATCCTAAGGATGGGGGGGTTTAAGGAGAGAAGGAGTAACAGCCTCTAACCGCTAACAAATATTTACTCAACACCGACCATATGCCAGACACTCTTCTAGACAGTGGGGTTTTAGAGGCAGAGTGAACAAAGTCCACCCTCATTGATCTTACATCCTATTGGCAGGAGACAGACAAGAAATAAACAGGATATCAGATGGCGAAAAATTGTATAGATAATAAGGGAGATAATCTATAATAATAAAAGCATAATATGCTAATTAGACCGGACATCCTTCTAGACGAAGCCTTAGCAGCAGGGGCCGAGACAGAGGCGCCACCATGGTGGGTGGGGGCCAAGGAAGAGGCAACAGCAGTGATGGCAGAAGGGGACGAGCCCCTTGCACAAATTTTGTGCATCGGGCCTTTAGTAAGGTATAAAGGGAATAGGAGCCAGTGAAGTGAGGTGGTTGTTTCAAATGGAGTGATTAGAAGAGGCCTCACTGAAAGGGAATATTCGAGCAGAGCCTGAAGAGGAGGAGAAAACCGTGCAGGTATCTAGGGACAGAGTTCCAGGTAGAACAAGAGCAAGTACGGGCCTAAGGTAGGCGCACACTTAGCATGTTAAGGAACTACAATAAGGTCTGTAAACCAGGCTGGGGGCAGTGAAGGTAGAGATGACATCGGAGCTACTCAGAGCCTTAAAGGCCTAGGAGTTTTTCTGAAGGGATGGGCAGCAGCTGGGGATGGAGCCACTAATGTTTTTAAAAGATCACTGGGTCCCAGTAAAAAAAAAAAAAAAGATTTTAATCCACTAACCAAACCAGGAAGGATTACAATAAATTATGTTTCCCCTTTTGAGGTCAGCACTAGGTATTTCCTCTACAGTGGAAACCAGATATACACAAGGTATTTCCCAAGAAGACGGTTGGAGCCCACACAGGGTGATAATTCAACAAGGATCGCACCTCATGGCCGCGATGGCCCCGGAACTGTGGCCTATGATGATGGTCCTCTCGTCACAATGCAGCTCTGTCTCCATGAAGGGCAGCCAGATGCTCTCTCGAGCTGTAACTAAGGTTCAGGGTAAAGAAAGAGTCTGTCATTTGATAGGGACAGCTTTCATCTAATGCTACCCGCCTTTCTAATAGATGACTACTCAGCAGTTCACAACTTTAAAACTTCAGGATCGCCAAACCGGTTTGGCTCAGTGGATAGAGCATCGGCCTGCGGACTGAAAGGTTCCAGGTTCGATTCCGGTCAAGGGCATGTACCTTGGTTGCGGGCACATCCCCAGTAGGAGGTGTGCGGGAGGCAGCTGGTCGATGTTTCTCTCTCATTGATGTTTCTAACTCTCTATCCCTCTCCCTTCCTCTCTGTAAAAAATCAATAAAATATATTTTTAAAAAAACAAAAACTTCAGGATCACAGTGGCAATGGAGCCATTTTAATAGAGACAGTTGCATGTTGCTGTTGGAACGAAATCTGTAGTTTTGTTTTTATTTTTTACCATTTTCTTGTAAGAGGAGATAATAAATTATAGAACTCTGAAGTTTTAAATTTTCCAACTTAAAATAAAGGACAATGTTCTCTCTCAAATTTGTACATTATTTCTTTTCAAAACGGAAATTCCTAAGACAAGTCATAGCTAAACTCAGAACAAAAGTGTCATTGTCATATTTTTTAAATATTAGGATCTCATAGATGCTGTAAAATTTTATCCTATCTCTGCCTCAAGTGGAACACCCATAACTTTTGCCTGGAAATAATTGTTGATTTATAGAAGGGAAAGTCAAGTTGCTTGCAAAGTTAAAAATTAAATTTTACCAAGTCCGAATACTTTTATTTTTTTCCTTTTTTTTAATCCTCACCCAAGGATATGTTTTTATTGGTTTTAGAGAGAGAAGAAGTGGGGTGGGAGAAACATCAATCAGTAGCCTCCAATACATGCCTTGACCAGGGATTGACGGTATATGCCCTGACTGGGAATCCAGCCTCCAACCTGTAACCTTTTTTTGGTGTACAGGATGCTCCAGCCAATTGAGCCACCTGGACAGGGCCCAAGTGCTTTTCTTGGTCCTTACTAGAATTGTCTATTAATTTTTTTTATATACCCTCCTCCCCAAACTACTTGTGATCATTCATTCTTAGGTATATATTCTCTTAGGCTGCTCTACTTGTTCTCTACCAGGAAAATGCAAGATCAAAACCCAACAAGATGAAGCTATTACTCACTTGGGTCAGGCATATTTTTAGCCAAACACTGGAAACCAGGTATCTATGACATGAAGGGGAGAAAAAAAGCTATAATAAACAGCTTCATTACAACTAATACTTTGCTAATAAGAAATAAGACCAAAAAAAAAGAAATGAGACACCTGATATGATCATTATTCAATAAATGTTTGCTTATGTTATGAAATGAAGTGGGTTAAGCACTACAGGATTACATATGAATATACAATCCTTCTCATAAACGTCATGTGTCTGTTATTCTATATCTAGCCAGCTCTGTAGGTCTCTATATAGAAATGCTTATATCTGTAGAGAGGGTATGATTGAATGTGTTCTAGACAGAATGACCTGAAGCCAAACAGACTGTGTGCCAGGGAGCAGATAAAATGTGGAACAGAAGGTTGGAGATCCCATCCTCTTCGGCAGCTCCAGCCATGGTTTTCAGCCACAACCCAGGTATTTTATTCTAGAAACTTACTTCAGAGCTCTAGAGGTCAGCAACCCAGGAAGTAATCTTATTGTCTGGTTATGGAAGAGAGTTGAAAAAAACAACAAGGTGTACAAGACAACCTACAGTAGAATGCCATTTCTATAAAGCTCACAAAGAGGCCAAATTAAACAATATGTGTTTAAAAGATACATATAGAGGTTGCTAAAGTACTTTAAAAAGAGGAGTAAATGAAAATAAAATCAGGATGGCAGGGAAATGGGATGGGAGCACACAGATGGCTTCTATTGATAATGTTCTAGATTTTAGTTTGATGATGGATTCTCAGGAGGAAAAAACCATGCAGGTATCTAGAGACAGAGCGTTCCCGGTAGAACAAGAGGAAGCATGGGCATATACATTAGGATTCATAATTCACATACATGTCACATATATCCTTTGTATACATTCATTAATATTACATGTTGAATTTTAAAGAATCTGAGCCAGGGAGCAAAGGGAACAGCTGTAAAACTTTATGGGAACTTCCAAATCTGAACCAGCAGCAGATACAGGGAGGGGGAAGGGACTCGGTCTCTGCAGTTCCAGGAGGTGGTGCCTTGTACTCTTAACGGCTAAGCCCTCAGAGAAATCCTCCAGGGAGTTTTATCAAAGTGAAGAAGTATAGCAAAGGGGAGAAATGAAAATACACAGGGTTTGGGGTTGAGGAGGAATGGGGAGACACGTTCAAATTTCAGTCCTCCATCCCTTCCGTCCCCTCCAGCTCCAGGCTGATTTCCCAGCGCAGCGAGGCGTCTCTTACCTGATCCAGCCTCTTCTTCACCCAGCAATACCATCCGTTGGTCGCAATATCCACGCCTCCGTTCCCGGGAACAATTACCGCCTTGCAAGGAGAAGCCATGAACGCAGGTGAGCCAGAGTACCCCGGCTGCCGATCGTGCAGTGTTTAGAGCCCTTAAATGAGCCTGCACTGCGGCATTCTGGGGATTGTAGTTCTAGGGTGCCAATAGGGTAGTTCATTCACTCTAGCCTTCCTTACCCCACAGGGCACCCAATGGATATCACCTTTTACTTGCCTCTTACTGGTGCTCGCATTCCCTCCTCCCTCCCTTAATTAAGACAAGTTGTGACATACCCAGAATGTGTAATCTCTTTACTAGAATTATTGGTATTTCCACAGGAAAGTGTGCTTTTAGTTCCAAACATACAGAACACAGCCTATTAGTTGAGGATTCATGGAATCCTTATCATTTTTCCTTCTGATTTCAAAATAATTCTTAGTAGAATAGTCCATTTCAGCCCTGGTTTTTATTTTTTATTACTTTAAACGCGTCCTTTAAAAAGTTCCACAGGTTTTTTAGAGAATATGGATAACAATAACTTAAACCGATTTAGAGACTAGGGAAACTGAGATACCAATGAAATGGTTTACCTATTATAATATGGCAATCCTGAAATTTTAGGAACTGGTCCTATCTTATATATTCAAAGCTTATTGAATTGAAGTGGACAGAGTGTGTATTATGAATGGGAATGAAGAAGAAAGTACTTATTCGTTGCTCTTCCCATGGACTTACTCACTGTGCTCATCACATGTGTGTTAGCATCTGACATTGAGAAACACTCCAGCAGTTTATATTTTGAGCAGGTGCAAATAGATGATCAATGATACACTGCCGCAGTATGTCTAGAAAAGCAAGGCATACTTTTCTCTCTTGGATCTTAGACTCCAGATTTTTTTTAAAAGGTCAGTGTTATTTAACTTTAAATGTGAACTTATTCACTGAAGAAGAAATGAACTACTGATCCACACAACAACATGGATGAGTCTCAAAAGGATTATGTTGAGTGAAAGATGCCAAACAAAAGAGAGTATGTACCATATGATTCCATTTATTCAAAACTCAGAGAGTCCTTCCTTGTATCTATCATTTCTCAAATTCCTCCAGGTTAAAAATTCAATATGCCTAGGTACCATATTTTGGGGTAGTGTGTCCTGAACCCTATCAAAGGAGGGGCCAAGGATAACTCTAGCTTCAGGCTGAGTAACTGGGAGAATAGTGTCTCTAAGCGAAGTAGAAAATACAAGAGGCAAGTTAGTCTAGGGGGGAAATATGAATTTAGTTTAGGACATAACAAGATTGAGATACCCGAGAATATCAAGATATCCAGCATGTTGTTGAATATATGAATCTGATGTTACAGAAGTATAAGCCTAATATATAGAATGTAGATTATACACAATGTAGCATATCTCAGGAGAATTGTGGAAGATTTTGAAATAGTCAAAAGAGAAGTTTCTATGTAATACTGGGCATTTTTAAAAAGGACTCTATGGAGTGATGTGATCATTAGGAGATGTGTGTCTTTCTCTTTGACTAAACTGTTTTACAACTTTTGAGAAATAGAAATCAACTTTACAGGAATTGGATAATACAGTTGTTTTCTTTGCATAATAATGCAAATGTTTCCTGTTCACAACAATGAAAATGAATTTGGCATGGTAGACAGTATGTCTCTATAAATCAAAATTTTCTTTGAACCAATTTGAACATCCTTACTGGTCCACTTTTAAATGAATGAGTTATGTAGAAGCATTTTTTTTTTTAAAAAAAAATTGATTTTACAGAGAGAAAGGGAGAGGGATAGAGAGTTAGAAACATCAATGAGAGAGAAACATTGATCAGCTGCCTCTTGCACACTCCCTACTGAGGATGTGTCCACAACTAAGGTACATGCCCCTGACCAGAATTGAACCCGGGACCCTTGAGTCCACAGGTTGACGCTCTATCCACTCAGCCAAACCGGTTAGGGATGTAGAAGCTTTGACATGTTCTCATCTTATGTTTGTATGAGGGCCATGTTTCCTTTTTGAAACTTTTAACAATTTTGGAGGTTTCACCAACAGCCCAATGGATTCACCTGATAAAACCAGGGAAATCATGTTGCTGAAGAACATGAAATCAGATTAGTACATCTCTTAAAGGGGCTCTGTCTGATTGGCTTATGAAGATAAATACACTTATATAAATTACCTGTTCCTTAAATTCCCAGAAAATAAGGAAGTTAAACTTCTAATACTTTAAATGTGCTAGATTTTTTTTTTTTAAAAGAAGCCTTCTTACAGAAATTTCTAGTACAGAATCTAGGTGCAAGAATTAAAGCAAATCTTGGCCAAGTTATACTTAATGTTTGACTAACAAAACACACCTATGTCTTTCCTCAATGTAAAGTATAATACATGTATTTTATTTGAGCTCATTCCCTTACTGAGAGAATAATTAATTTGAATCTCCTAAATTTATAGAAGTGTAATGATCAAATGAACTAACATTACCCTTACATAATGTTTTAGGAACATGGAAATGTAAACTTGCTCAACAAAACCGAATAATTATTCTGACAAATTTTTTATATTAACAGTAATTGTTTCATAGTACATTGACTTAAATGAATTTTAAACCTCGTAATATCAAATCGAGCTAATTAATCGTAATTCTTGGATGCCTAGATATGTTCTAAGCATAATTTTAAGTTTATATAGTTTTGCTTAGTTTTACAGGCTACAGAGAGGCTATATATCTCTGGGTCAGATCTGCCGGAAGCCGGTCCACCCTTGCTGCTTGACACAGTTGCTGCAGGGAAGAAACATGTGCACAGCTTATGTTCCAAGGGACCTGGCGTATATGGCATATGTTTGCTCCCCCTCTTAGCGCTATGTGTTTTAAACAGGACCACCTCCACGAGAAAGGTTGTTTCCCCAGGTGAGGATTTTTCCCTGGAGTTAGGGATTAACAGGACTAAGGAAGAGAACAAATCAGTAAAACCCCCTAGTGTTACAGAAATACCATGTACTACTTATGAAGAACTTGGACTAAGGCTGTTGGCAATAAATTTGGGACTTGTTGGGCCCACATCCCCAGGGGTCTGCCCACCAGGGAAAGCACCAAAGCCTATATCCCTGGAGACCCACCGACACAGGGCAGTCCCAGGGAAGGCAAGCAGTGGGGCTGGGAGGACATAACCTTTACTGGGTAGGATAATCTCCTTCAGTCACTTCCTTGTAGCTTATCAGTAGAGCAGTGACCTTGGAATAGCCCTTATAATGGAACACAGAGATTAACCTAGACAAGATTAAAATCAACAGAACTAGATAGAGACAGGATTTTTGGCAAAGGTCAGATAAGAAACTATGGAAATAAAACAAGGAACTGTAGAAGGTTACCCAAAACATACCATGTGTGATTATAGAGGCATGCTTATAGGATCAAATGGTATAAATACAGATGTAACAGGACAATAAAGGGAGAACCTGGCTATGCTGATCAACTGAACACTGCTGTCTCCCTGTCATTCCTTCTCCGTCCACACCTTTGGGAACACCTGGACCTGCTGGGGCTGGACCCCAACACAGATCAATAAGCTTAACCTCGTTGTTGCCTCATATAAAAAGATGTAAAACCGTTTTGGTGCCTGTGGAAGTTGCGCTCTGCGTAGTTAGGAGGTTTACTTCGTCCTCTAAAGTGCTTGACTATGACAATCCCCAACTATTCACCGCCTCTAGGACGACAGGGATAGAAATGCCAAGAGGAGCTGTACTTCTAGTGCAGCCATCAGGGCGAGCGAGGAGGAAACCTTGTCACGCGACGAAGCAGAACCAAACCTGTGGAATTTATGATGAATCTTTTCTTTTTAATATTTTAAGGTTTTTTTTTGTTTTTGTTTTTTTTTTACACGTACAAAGAAATAGCATTCTGTCTTCAGGTAGATGTCTTGAATGACCCATTCATGCAAGTTCACTGACTCCACCTTAATGAAACCTAAGTCCTTGGTGTACTGATGTTAACACTGGCGGCACAGGTTGGACCGCTCCGGTTTGAGCAGACGCGTCAGGAACGAGAACCCTGCCCTAACCAGTTTGGCTCAGTGGCTAGAGCGTGGGCCTGCGTACTCAAGGGTCCCGGGTTCGATTCCGGTCAAGGGCATGTACCTTGGTTGTGGGCACACACCCAGTAGGGAATGTGCAGGAAGCAGCTGATGGATGTTTCTCTCTCATCGATGTTTCTTACTCCTATCCCTCTCTTCCTCTCTGTAAAAAATCAATAAAATATGTTTGGGGGGGGAAAAAGAACGAGAACCCTGACCGAATTTCCCCGGATGGCTCCAGTAGAGTGGCCGGTGACCCATCTTGCTCCCTCTGCAGCAACGAGGCAAAAGGCACGATGAATCTTAACTAGACCCAGAGACCTGCCTCCACACATGGGTGCGCGCGCAGGCGTCCCCACACTCACCGCCCCCACACTCCTTCCGCCCCGCCCCACCCTTTCCCGCGCACTGACGCCTCTTTCCGGCCGGCTTCAGTTTCCTGTGCGCAGGTCCACCCCTTCTCCCGGGGCCATACGTCATCGTTCTCGCTTCCCTGTAACTAAGGTGATGAGAGGAACTTCCCACTGAGGCGGGCGGATGTCATGTTGGATCAGAGAGTGCACCTGAGGCGTCCTGGCTGCGCCTAGAAAACAGTCCAGCTGGCGCCGGGGTTTTCTAAAGCGGAAACGTTTAGCGGTGAACGTGGAGAAAAGTATGTTCTGAGGAACTGCGGTTTTGTAGAGCGAGGCACGAGTGTCTTGCCCTTTTCCAAGATGGCGGCGCGGCTTCTCTGAATGTCTTGCTTCCGCTTGCCTGCCGGAGGAGGCGCTTTTTGATGGGCCCGTGGACGGCGCCGGGAGTGACGCACAGAGACGCTGACCAATCGACTTAGAGCTGAGCTGGACTTGGCGGTGGGAGCTGCTGCCGGTCTCTTGTAGGTGCGGACGGCTGCGGCCAGGTGGACGGCTACGGCCAGGTGAGTGGGGGACGCCGGAGGGGTCCGAGGTCTGAGGGCACAGGCGTGCAAGTGTAGGGGGCGAAGGGTTTGCTTCCGGGGTAAATCCTTTTCCCGGTGGGCAGAGGAACGGGGGCAATTGGTGATCCAGGGGTCTTCTGAGAGTGACGCTTTCCCCGCCAGGCCGGCTTTCCCCAGGCGGCAGGCCGGCTTCTGACTAGGGATGTCTCTGAAAGGAGGG